ATTTATTTGACAGAGAGAGACACAGCGAGAGAGAGAACAAGCAGGGGGAGTGGGAGAGGGAGAAGCAGGCTCCCCGCTGAGCAGGGAGCCTGGTGTGGGGCTCGATCCCAGGACCCTGGGAACATGACCTGAGCCGAAGGCAGACGCTTAACGACTGAGCCACCCAGGCGCCCCTAATAATAAACTCTTGAGTAGGCATCTTCCTAATCTCCTGGGGGACAAAAAGGGAAGGATGCCTACAATACTTCTGCTGCAAACGGGCGGTGAGAGGACTTTGTGAGGAGAAGGGTTTGTGTGGTTGCCGGAGCTGTAAGCTCAGCTGGCTGCGCGTCCCCTGGAAGGCTCTTTTTAATTAAAAGAACGCAGACAGACCAGGCTGGTTCATCAGACTTGGGTGAATGACAGACATGTTCTTATAAATGAAAGAAGCAAGCTCGTCACTTCAAGGAAAAGAACGGAGAGTATCTGTTGCCAATAATATAATTTTGAGCTTTCAAGTGAAAATGAGAATTTTAGAAAATGTTTATCTGCCACAGTGAGTTTGACAGCTTCCCGGTACTTAAAGACTTTCTGATTAAATTGTTGATCTTAACAAATGTGATTTCTAAAATATTTTATAATGAAATACGTCAACATTTGGAAGTTCTGCATAACTTGGTGAACCAATAATTTCCCAAAGACCAAAGGCCTTATGTTACAAAAACATTCATGGGTAAAAGACCTATTTAAATGAAAGACAGACCAATGAGTTCTTATATAACCAAGCACAAAAATTTCCTTAATGTTATTTCAGGTTCTACATGGCAATGAACTTTTGAGAACCTACTACTTGTTGAGCTTTGATGTAGTATCAAAGGAGAATAAGCACAATTATCTGAAAAAGGCTATTAAAATACTCTTCCCCTTTCCAACTATGTATCTCTGAGACCAGTTTTCTTCCTATTCTTTAACCAGGTATAAGAACCCAGCCATCTTCTATTAAGTCAGACATTCGAGATTTATAAAAATGCAAAACAATGTTGCTTGTCTCATTATTTTTGCTTTGTTTTGAAAAATTTAGTCATTTCTCACAGAAGTATATTATTTATATAACATGTAATGGGGTTTTTGTTATTTTTAAATGAATGAATTATTGCAAAAATTTGTTTTAAATTCTAATTCAGCAATATTGATAGATATATTCCACAGAAGCTAAAGTTTTTTGAGGTCTTTGATAATTTTTAAGAGCGTAAGAGGGGTCTTGAGGCCAAAAAGTTCAAGAAGCACTGATTTATACAAAAGGGTCTATGCTGAGGTGATAGCCATGACCGGGACACAAAGCCTTCCCTCCAGCTAAGATAGAGCCCTGTTCCGTTAGCCTGTGTGACCCCAATCCAGTAGCTAACATGTGAACTTGGACAGTTACAGCTTAGGACGCTTTCTATGTTTGTTTCTGGATGGGAGGTAGACTGAATGTGAGTGTAAGATGGGTAAGACACCTCACTCTGAGAGATAAAATGAGGATTAAAGCAGCATTACTTTGAAACTTGAATCCTGGCAGTCAGGAAGGACCCCGGCCATTGTTCCTGCATCACCAAAGGGGGGTCCCTGCCGGTCTGAAGGGCT